GTACAGGACTTGGCCTCTCAATTTGTAAAAGTCTAGTAGAAATTAATGGAGGAGAAATTAAAGTAGAAAGTCAATTAGGAAAAGGAAGTAAATTTTGGTTCACATGGAATGTCGAAGTATTATCAATAGATTCTTCATTATCAAATCCTACTCATTTTGATCAAATAAGTTATATCTTACCTAATGTTATGAAACAAAAACGAATATTAATCATCCATCCACTTGAAGACGCGAGAAATGCAATGCTAAATTACTTTAAAGCAATTAAAAAAGTTGATGCATTTGATACTTTCGATAAAGGCATTAGTGCAGTAAAAAGTTATAGAGAATCTGCTTATGATATAGTATTTATTGGACTTTATGAAAATAATGAAGAAGAGGTCATGAAAGCAACATTTGAATTAAGAGGATTAGAAATGAATAATAATAATTTAGTAATAATCTTTATAGTACTTCCAGCTAATAAAGAAAATGAATTAGCAGAAAAATTAATTGGAAAAGTTGGTGGAACAGCTACTATTCTTCATACTCCAATTACATGGAAAAAGCTAATTAATCTATTTATGTATTTGGAAAACAACTACTTTGCTATTAATAAAAATAATAAGAGTCTGCCTGTCAATGAAAATATTCTGAAAAGGGTATCAGATAATAGGTTTTATAAGTCAGAAGATGTAGATTAGTGTTGGTCACCGAAACCTTTTTGGCCAAATCCGAAAGTTTCGGGTTTCGGATTATAGTTTCCAAAACCTTACCCGAAACTCGAAACCTTACCCAAAACCCGAAACCTCACCCGAAACCCGAAACCTCACCCGAAACCCAAAACCTTACCCGAAACCCAAAATTTTGCCTAAAACATAAAACTCTACTAAAATCTAAAATATTTTCAAAACCTAAAACTTTATCTAAAACTTAAAATTTTATTTATAGTTTAATATAAAATTTAAGATTAGATGATTAATATAAAATTTTTATAAAATTTTTTTTCAAAATTGTTTGAAATAGTTTTGATTTTTAAACAAAAGTTTATTCTTATACTATTTTCATTGCAGAATATTAAAATAAAAAAAGTTTAATTAAATATTTATCTTATAAAAATATATAATATCCAATAAATATTATATAAATATTCAATACAGAATCAATTTGTTAAACAAAAAATTAGATAATTTCAAAATAGTTCTAAAAATTTATATATATTAATTATTAAAATTATTATTTAATAT